TTCCATTAATATCTCTAATGCAATGTTATACAGTCTTTGCCCACATTCTTGTGCCATTTTCAGTCAGAAGATACTCATTCATCAAATAATAAAAAATCAAACTCTTAACTTAAATTTTGGTGTTTTATGAACAATTTTGGACTCTGTTAGAAGTGTGTATATACCCATGGTATATAGTCTAGTATGGGAGTCAGTCTGGCCAAGATTTTCATTTAAATTGCACCTGTAAACTCAACACTGATCCACTACCCACACAAATTAAGACAAACAGTATATATACATATATCAGACATATATTGTAAATACATGACTATATTGCGAATTAGCATTTAATAGTAAGTGCTCAAAACATAAGAAAAAGTTTCCCTACATACTTGCTTTAAATGATGAGCAGTCTTGTTTGGAGTGAATTTATTAGTATTTATATGGATATGGAAGTGTAACAAGAAATAAAGTGTTATGTGTTTCTGTGCAGCAGCGCTCACCTTTGTCCTTTAATTAGGTTATGAAGTACTATCTTCATTACATGCCTACATATTATTCCAGTTATTGACAGTTCAATCATACACCTGTGTATTTCTGGGCGTACTAAAGGCACCTGGAGGCCACACATATACATGACAGGTAAAATACTTCATTGAGAGTTAAATATTTCAATTGTGATGGTTTTGTACATGATTTTAAAGTTCATTTCTGTCTGATCAGATTAGAAAAATCACAGTGATCCAGAGCTCTTCTCCAGACGTGATTCATTGCAGATATCAGAGTTTTTTCTTTGTTGCTCTTCAAAACTGTGACATATACACCAGTTTGATCTGTAGCTTGACAGAATATCATAAAACTTTAATATTTAATTCTAGCATAGTGCAAACACAGAAGGTTGCAAGACTCAGAATGGGATAGTGACCTTTGACATGCCTTAAGTTTTTGTTTGTTTTTAATCTTAAGCCTATTTTATTTCTAACAACACCTTTAATACTTCTCATTAGGTGTTTTATACAGTTTAGGAAGAAGGCTTAAATGTGCTTTAAATCACGTTTAAAATGTTTTTGAATACACTGAGGACGCGTTCAATGTTTTATTGGCTTTTGCAGCGCTTGATGCTCGCCTTAGATTTGATCTGAAGGTGGATATAATAAACATTTCTCCTTTGTGTATTTTAATATCAAAACGCCAAGAGCCTCTATTTGGTATTGACCTTGTTTTTTTACAGCGTCAAACTATTTTACCATTTCAGTTTTGCACTAAATATAGGAGAAGAAAACACAAGCGTGAGGGACTCGCAAACACCGAGCGGGAAGGTTGAGTCTATAAGGTTCTCATGTGTTGTTTATGAGCGCAGCGCTGCTCGAGTGACACCCACTCATTGTTGAATCAGCGTTTGAAAGATAGCAGAAATGGTAGAAACCGCTCCAGCTGCTGCCGCTCCGCCGGCCAAAGCACCCAAGAAGAAGTCTGCAGCTAAAGCCAAGAAAGCAGGTCCAGCTGTCGGGGATCTGATCGTTAAAGCCGTGTCTGCGTCCAAGGGGAGGAGGGGGGGGTCTCTCGCAGCCCTGAAGAAAGCTCTCGCTGCCGGCGGCTACGACGTGGAGAAGAAAAACTCCCGCATCAAGCTCGCCATCAAGAGCCTGGTGACTAAAGGCACCCTGGTGCAGGTCAAAGGAACCGGCGCCTCCGGCTCCTTCAAGCTCAACAAGCAGCAAACCGAGACCAAGAAGAAGCCGGCGAAGAAAGCGGCTCCTAAAGCGAAGAAGCCCGCGGCCAAGAAACCCGCTGCTGCCAAGAAGCCCAAGAGCGCAGCGGCAAAGAAGCCCGCCGCTAAGAAATCGCCCAAGAAGGCCAAGAAACCCGCTGCAGCCGCTAAGAAGGCGACGAAGAGCCCCAAGAAGGCAAAGAAGCCCGCAGCGCCTAAGAAAGCAGCCAAGAGCCCCAAAAAGGCCAAGACTGCAAAACCCAAGGCGGCAAAGCCTAAAGCTGCTGCCAAGCCTAAAAAGGCAGCTCCTAAGAAGTAAAACTCTACTGTTTTATTCCCCAACGGCTCTTTTCAGAGCCACCCACTAACTCTAAAGAAAGAGCAAGACGCTATTGACTTAATTGCTCCTCTCATAAAACTTATGCCAATAATCAAACTATTAAGTGTATTATGAATTTGAAGAGCTTGAATCTGACTGACATTGCTTTGATTCAAAATCTGCAACTCATGTTTTATACCTGCGACTCCAAGCTTCAATTTCCAGCGACAGTATTACATGTGCACCTTGGTCCTAATACACGGATAGAAACTGTTCAATCAACAACAAAATGTTGCTTTTTATTTATTTTTATTTTTCTCTCCTCACATCAGTATATTTGAGGTGTGGCGACTGTGAATTTTATATCACAAATATTTCAAAAGTTTCTTATATCGCCTCTGCCTTTGAAGTAATGAATATTTGTGTCACTGAACCTGCCAGAAAGTGGGCGTGGCTTCGGCGGTCGGTGTTGGAGGGAAGTTCAGTGATTGGTTTGAAATCTTACACGCTCTAAACCAATGGGTGACTGGTACGCTCGTTTAAATACAGTATAACCGAACTCACGGCTTTATTCTTTCTGTTTTTAGAGTAATAAGTGCATTTTACTGAGAATGAGTGGAAGAGGCAAAACCGGTGGCAAGGCGAGAGCGAAGGCCAAGAGTCGCTCCTCCAGAGCAGGGCTGCAGTTCCCCGTCGGTCGTGTTCACAGGCTTCTCCGCAAAGGTAACTACGACCAGCGCGGCGGTGGGTGCTGCTGCCCAAGAAGAGCGAGAAAGCCGCCAAAGCCAAGTAAACGGATTCTAGTCTGTTTCTGGAACAAAAAAGGCTCTTTTAAGAGCCACCCATGTTATCTATTGGAGAGCGCTTTTGTTTTAATCAGCAGAATCACACAACGTGTTCGATTATTATATAAAATCCAAGCTGCATTTTAGTGTTAAGCACATGAACAAAAGTTTTTCACTCCTAAACCTCACTAAAATAATTAGTATAAATCCTAATAAAACATGGTTATTAGCAGTGCGAGATCTCCAAACCAAATTAAAACCAAGCTACATATTCGTGTTTAACACATGAACAATAAAAAGGTTTTAACTCCTAAACTTCACTGTAAATAAAAAGTATACATCCTAATAAAACATGGTTATTAGTAGTGCGAGATCTATTTTTACAATGAGAGCATTTGTCTATTTTTCTCGTTCATGACGTTTTCGTTTGCTTCTTTAGCCTTTCCTTTGAATTAGAGCCATTTATAAAATAGAAAACAATCAGATGTTAATGGTAACGTTACTTGAAATTTGCAGGACAACAGAGGAGAATAAAGTGTCTAATCGTTAATGTTTTATTTTCTCCAAATTATCTCAATGGGTTTATAAGAGTCATATTTCAGACGAATTTATTTTCTTGTATAGAATGTGACTAATAAAAAGAGCGGGAATTGAAACAAAGAAAACAGTCACGTGGGCTGGTATTGCTCAAACACGGATCGGTGGGCGGGGCTATCACTTCACCGCCTGTGATTGGCCCTCGTTCCGCTCGGGATACTTCGAGTTGTCCAATCACAGACGGGTTTATGGGTTTAGTCTGTGAAAACACAGCAATCAGAAGCGTCCACATCTCTTTGATAATTAGCATAGATTAGTGAATAAACGCCTCTGTCTCGCTCATTCTAATCATTGTCTCGTGAGATTTTGCTCCCGCAGCAGCATCATGCCTGAACCAGCGAAGTCTGCGCCTAAGAAGGGCTCCAAGAAGGCCGTCACTAAGACCGCAGCGAAGGGAGGAAAGAAGCGCAGAAA